AATAAGATTGATAGCTGACTATTCTGCAGAAGCAATGGAAGCCAGAAGTGAGATGACAAAACACGAATTTCCTTTGGGCTAAGGAATGTACCAGGAAGCAGGGCTTTCAATGTTAAGACTGAAACAGTTTCAAGCAACCAGAATGATTGGTCACTCTAGCCAGAATAAAATTTTATGGAACCCTCTTATGCTGTTGGTGGGAATGCAAGCTGGTGCAGCCACTTTGGAGAACAGTGTGGAGATTCCTAAGAAATTAAAAATAGAGCTTCCCTATGACCCTGCAATTGCACTACTGGGTATTTACCACAAAGATACAGATGTAGTGAAAAGAAAGGCCATAGGTACCCCAATGCTCATAGCAGCAAGGGCCATGTCGCCAAACTGTGGAAAGAGCCAAGATGCCCTTCAACAGACAAATGGATAAAGAAGGTATGGTCCATACATACAATGGAATATTACACCTCCATCAGAAAGGATGAATACCCAACTTTTGTATCAACATGGACGGGACTGGAGCAGATTATGCTGAGTGAAATAAGTCAAGTAGAGACAGTCAGTTATCATGTAGTTTCTCTTACTTGTGGAGCATAAGGAATAACGTGGCGGACATTTAGAGAAGGAAAGGAAAAGTGAATTGTGGGAAATCAGAGGGGTAGATGAACCATGAGAGACTGTGGACTCTGAGAAACAAACTAGGGTTTTGGAAGGGAGAGGATGGAGCGTTGGGTGAGCCTGGTGGTGGATATTACGGAGGGTGTGTATTGCATGGAGCATGGGGTATAGTGCATAAACAATGAATCTTGGAACATTAACAAACAATGAATCTTGAAATTAAAAATTTTTTAAAAAGAAATTTAAAAAATTCTGCCAATGTGTAGTCTACATAATTGTAAAGAAAAATGAATATATGTGAATGTCCTTCAAAAATGCAAAATGAAAAAATATTTTTTAAAGATTTTATTTATTTATTTGACAGAGATCACAAGCAGGCAGAGAGGCAGACAGAGAGAGAGGAAGAAGCAGGCTTCCCGCCGAGCAGAGAGACCGATGTGGGGCTTGATCCCAGGACCCTGGGATCATGACCTGAGCTGAAGGCAGAGGCTTTAACCCACTAAGCCACTCAGGTGCCCCGCAAAATGAAAATATTTTAATAAGAACAAATGCTTAAAGAATTTATTACCGGAGACTTGCACTAGGGTAAATGGAGTTTTTCTGTCTGAAGGAAAATAATCTCAGATGAAAGTAAAAAACAGCAGTAAGTAATGAACAGTCCCAGGAAAGTAAAATATGTTGGTAAAATATAAATGAATATTATCTGTATAAAATAACACATATTAATTATAAAATATACAACATTTATAATAGTAAGAAAATGACAATGATGCAGTCATCCATGCTGGATGTAGAACCTGCTTAAGATTCTCTCTCTCCCTTTTTCCCTCCCCCCAAATCATCTTTCTCTCTCTAAAAGGAATTTAATCTATTCTTGTATTGCACAGTTCTCTTTTTCCTTCAGCTTCATTGGTTTCCATTATTTTGTCTTCTAGGTGATTAATTTGTTCCTCTGCTTTTTCTTGCCTGCCATTCATTGCATCAAGCCTGTTTCCAATCTTGTTTATTGCATTCTTCATCTCTGATTCTTTTTTAAATCTTTTATCTCTGTTGTAAGGGTCTTACTGATATCTTCTTCTCTCAAGCCCAGTTAATATTTTTATGATTGGTGTTTTAAATTCTCCATCAGCCATATTACTTATATCTTTTGGTTAGATCTCTGGCTGTGGCCTTATTTTGTTCTTTCATTTGAGATAAATTCCTCTGTCTTCGCATTTTTGTCTAAGTCTCTGTCTTCTTCTCCGTGTTAGAAAACCGAGTTACGTCTCCTGCTGCTGAAAATAATGGTCTTATGAAGAAGAGGTCATATAGTGCCCAGGGCCTGCCACTTCAGGGAGTGTCTCTGGTGTGTGCTGCATGCAGTCTGCTGTTGTATTCTGGCTGCACTATCCTTCAATCCAGGCATCTGAAGAGTTTCCTTTTGCCTCCTGTGGGTAGTATTTGGCCTGACCTGAATGTAGTGACTTATAACTAAGTGAGCTTTGGTCTGCTTGTGAAATGAAAACTGGCACCAACTCCACCAGAACTGGAGAAATTTCTGGTTGGGAGATATGGTGTGGGTAAGTGTTTGTGCTGGTCTTCTCGGGGAAGGACCCACCATGCTGGGACTCAGGCAAGCTTGAATGAGAAGGGTAGTCTCAACCAGACTACAGAAGAATTATGCAACATAATAGACTTAGGGAACTCAGAGACTTCATAAAACACAATTACATTAATATTCTAGAGGTCCCAGAAGAAGAAGAAGGAGAAAAGGGAAAGAAAACTTATTTCAAGAAATAATAACAAAATCTCCCTAATCCAGGGAAGGAAACAGACATTCAGATTTAGGAGGCACAGAGAATTCCCTCGAAAATCACCAAAAGCATGTCAGCACCAAGACATATTACAATTAAATAAGCAAAATATAGTGAAAAAGAAAAAAAAATCTTAAAAGCAACAAGACAAAAGAAGTCCTTAACACACAAGGGAAAAACCATAGAGCTAGCTGCAGAAACTTGACAAGCTAGAAGGAGTGGCATGATCTTTTCAATGTGCTGAATCTACAGCCAAGAATAAGCTATCCAGCAAGGCTATCATTCAGAATAGAAGGAGAGATTAAAAGAGTTTCACAGACAAAAACTAAAGGAGTTAATGACCATTATATCAGTCCTGCATGAAATATTAAAGAGCGTTCTTTGAGTGGAAAGGAGAAGTCAAAGTGACAAAGACAATAAAGGATCAGAAAAAATCTCCAGATACAATGGCAAAACAAGTAATAAAATGGCAATAAATACATATCTATCAATAATTACTCTGAATGTTAATAGATTAAATGCTCTAATCAAAAAACATAGGGTGTCAGAATGTATTTTTAAAAAGCAAAAATAAAGTATTGGGACTTCAAAATAAAAAGCTTCTGCACAGTGAAGAAAACAACAAAACTAAAAGGCAACCTATGGAATGGGAGAAGATATTTGCAAATGACCTATCTGATAAAGGGTTAGTATTCAAAAGATATAAAGAATTTATTAAAATTGATACCCCAAAATTGAATAATCAAATTAAAAATGGGCAGAAGATATGAATAGACATCATCCAGATAGCCAACAAGCACATGAAAAGATGGTCAACGTAACTGATCATCGGGGAAACACAAATTAAAACTACAGTGAGATACCACCCCATACTTGCCAGAATGGCTAAAATCAGCAATAGAAGACAGAGCAGGTTTTGGTGAGGATGTGGATAAAGGGGAACCCTCTTTCATTCTTGATGGGAATACAAACTGGTGCAGCCACTCTGGGAAACAGTATGCAGGTTCCACAAAAAAGTTAAAAATAGAACTATTCTATGATTCGACAATTGCACCACTACATATTTACCCACAGTATACAAAAATACAAATTCAAAGGGATACATGCACCCCGAAGTTTATAGCAGCATTATCTACAATAGTCAAATTATGGAAAGAGCCCAGATGTCCATCGACGGATGAATGGATAAAGAAGATGTTATATATACACACATACATACATACATAGGATTATTACTCAGCTACAAGAAAAAATGAAATCTTGCCACTTACAACAAGGTGGATGGAACTAGAGAGTATTATGCTAAGCAAAATCAGTCAGTCAGAGTAAGACAAATAGCATATGATTTCACTCATATGTGGAATTTAGGAAACAACAAATCAGCATACAGAAAAAAGAATAGAGAGTGGCAAACCAAGAAACAGACCCTTAACTATAGAGAATGAACTGATGGTTATCAGAGAGCAGGTGTGTGTGGGGATGGGTTAAATAATTTATGGGGATTAAGGTGTGCATTTTTTATGATGAGCACTGGGTGTTGTATATTGTACACCTGAAACTAGTATTACACTGTGTGTTAACTATCCAGAACTTAGATGAAAACTTAAAAAAAAAGTTGTGTTCAACCTGCATGATTCTTACAGATAATATAAAGACTGAAAAAAAAGCCAAAATCAAAAGAGTATATACTGTATATACTGTATGTTTTTGTCTTCATGAGCCTCTAAGTAGACAAAAATGATTGATTATGCAATAGAATATTGGTTACCACTTGAAGTATAGGCAGGGAAGGAGCATGAGAGAACCTTCTGGGAGTACTAGAAAGTTTTTATATTCATAATAATGTTGGGTTTATGCAAGTATATACATAAGTAAAGATCTCATAAAGCTATATATAATGTACATACATATGACACTGGTATGTTATTTATTATAATGTAAATAAATTAATTTCTTAAGACTCTTGCTGGCAGAAAAGTCATCAAGCACATCATTTATCTCCTAAGATAACAGTTAAGACTAATTTTGCCAGTTGAAGAAAAATTGGAACTAAAATACTGTACAAAGATAATATCAAAGACATAAGAGGGGAGGTTAGAGTATAAAGGATTTAAGGTCATTTTATTCATCAGGGGAGGATATAGGTATTGACTAGATTATCTGCTATGTATTTTAAAACTTACTTTAAAGTATGTGCATAGAATGTATAATGTTCTGAAAATTAGAGTAGAAGATAAAGAAATTTTTAATAAAATGCAGGGAAGATCATGGCATCTGGATGGTGTGGTTGCAGCCACGATCTCAGTGTCATGAGATGGAGCCCAGCATCACGCTCCATGCTCAGCATGGAGTCTTCTTCGGATTATCTTTCCTTTGCCCTCTACAATAAATATAAATGGACAAAACCCATCTGTTAAAAAACAGAGGCTTTCAGATTAGTGCTATTCTGTCAGATTCTGAAAGATGTCTTTCTATAACTTAGATTATTTGAAACACATTGGTATTATCATTCAATATTTGTTCTGTACCCTTAAAGGAATAACAGATTTTATATGAATAATTCAACACTAACTACTTTATTATTTTTTCTTATAGTCTGATCTCAGCAATGAAATGGAATCTGATATAATAGATGTGGTAAGTGACCTTCTCAAATCTTGTTTTATAAAATAAAATATTTCACATACACTATATTCTTTTTGATACTATAATTCTAAATAATTATATTTTCTTTGGTACTCTGTGTAAAGGTATAGAGGAATATGTATATAGTGAATGTTTAAAGCATATTTTGGTTTATCTTTTGTCTCACACAAAATTGGATGCAACAAGGAAAAATTAAATATTTTGAATTAAAAAATTAAAGATAATCTAAAATTTGAGACAAAAATAAACCATTAATTAATTTAAAAACATATAGCTATAATGGGCAAATATGAGTGGTATATTTTCAGCATATTCTGAAAAAAGAACAAAAAATAATTCCTTTATTGACATTTCTGATTTGGAATACTCTTACCTTGAGAAATAATTTGCATGTGTACTGCTGTCTTTTGGTGGAGACTGTAACTGCTTTTGGAGTTTTTAATTTTCCAACAGAATGGATCTTAGTATACTTAATGAGTCAAAGTTCCTTGAAAATATGTATATCAAATATTGACATAGAGAAATTAATATTTATAAGATGCCACTGTTGAGGAAATATTTTCCTTAGTTGAGTTCTACCAAAAGAAATCTTGAACTTGTACCTACTGCCTTGAGTACCTGTGTTCATTTTTTTTAAAGATTTTATTTATTTATTTGACAGACAGAGATCACAAGTAGGTAGGCAGGCAGAGAGAGAGAGAGGAGGAAGCAGGCTCCCCGCGGATCAAAGAGCCCCATGCGGGGCTCGATGTGGGGCTTGATCCCAGGACCCCGGGATCATGACCTGAGCCGAAGGCAGAGGCTTTAACCCACTGAGCCACCCAGGTGCCCCCCTGTGTTCATTTTTTATTAAAGATTTTATTTATTTATTTGACAGAGATCACAAGTAGACAGAGAGGGAGGCAGAGAGAGAGGGGGATGCAGGCTCCCTGCTGAGCAGGGAGCCCTATGCAGGGCTTGATCCCAGGACCCTGGGATCATGACCTGAGCCAAAGGCAGAGGCTTTAACCCACTGAGCCATCCATGCGCCCCCTGTGTTCATTTTTTACTTAGAAAAAAATCTGATGGCACTCTTTAGAATTACAGATTACCTGAAGTATTTCCTATGTGACTGGGACAAATAGAATTATTTAATTATATTTCTTTCTTTCTGGACCAACCTAGTATTCATTTGAAGGAAGTTTAACAGGCTCAAACACATATAATTACAAATGGTTTAAGAATATTTTTACCTTTTGGATTTTTTGTTTGTTTGTGTGTTTTGTTCATTGCTGATAAGTCAGTCAGCCAGGGAAAGAGAAATACCATATGATTTTTTTCATATGTGGAATTTAAGAAACAAATAAAGGGGAAAAAAAGAGACAGACCAAAAAATAAAATGAGACTCAACTATAGAGAAAAAACCAATGATTACCAAAGGGGAGGTCGGTGAGGGAATGGGTGAAATAGATGAAGGGTATTAAGAGTACACTTGTCTTGATGAGCACTGAGTGATATATAAAATTGTTGAATCACTGTATTGTACACCTGAAACTAACATAACACTGTATGTTAACTATACTGGAATTAAAACATTAGAAAGGAAATTTAAAAAAAGTTGTTTCATGCCAGAAGAAAACATCTAATACTAATTTCATTTTTAAAAGATTTTATTTATTTGAAAGAGAAAGAAAGACCCCAGGGAAGCACAAACAGGGTAAGGAGGGACAGAGGGAGATGGAGAAGCAGACTCTGCTGAGCAGGAGCCTGACACTAAGCTTAATCCCAGAACCCTGAAATTATAACTTGATCCAAAGGCAGATGTTTAACCAACTGAGTCACCAGGCTCCCCCTCATTTTTAACATAATATTTGGAACAAAAGGGAGGACCTCTGTGCTTAAAAACGACCTCCTTTTATAGTTTGCTGATGTTTGTTGGAGTGAACATTTTCCAGCGGAATATACAGTGTTAAGCAAGGTCGTTTTCTTTTCAAGTGAAAGAAAGTTGTATGGGTCCTTTCTGAAAAACAGGTTTAGATAAAGGCAAGTTGAAATAAAACATGAAGACATTGAATTCATAAAGGGGGATACTGGATAAGAAGAAAGAAAATAATCTACTTAAAATTTTTCCTAGGGCCAGTACTTCACTCCTGAAGTATTTGTTTTAGTCAGATATAAACTCAATTTAACTTAAGTAACAAACTAGGAGCCACCAAAGGTATAGTTGAAAATAAAGTTGGTCAGCATTCTGTATCTGCCATAAATCATCATCACATATTTCTCATTATCACCTCAGAAGAAGTCTTGTGGTTGAGATTATCCTATTTCAGAAATCATGAAATAGATGACTTATTACATTCTTCATGGCTTTGTAGACTGGAAGGCTGTAGGGCCTACATGTTATAAAAACAGAACATATTTTGGCATTTTTAATAGTCATTACTTCCTAAATATAGAGAAATGCATTTTTAAAATGGCTTTTCTTAGTATTTTAACAACCATACAGTATTTGTTACCTAGTGTTTTCTTTATTTTTCACCCTTTTTTCTCCAACATTCTTTGCCTCCCCCTTCATTTTGTTTTTTTTTTTTTTTTTTTTTTTATCCTTCAGATTTTCTCTTCCTAACCATTTCTCTTTTCTCTTGTGTTCTGTATGGGAACTGAAAGTAAATTACTAGTGTGAAATACAGAAAATATTCATAGACTTGGAGAATGTACATGATGTTAAAACATGTCAGACATCAGAAATAATAAGAAAGCAGTTAAAGTCTAAAAGATTTTTGTGTCTCTGGCCTCATTTCTCAGAATTTGCAATTATATCTATGTCTTCTGTCTCTAAGAAATGTTTCTTTGTTAGAAATTATATTGACATTATAGTAATGGATAGACATGCAGGAGAAAGGAGGCATTATCTTCATTTATTTCTCTATGGTAAACTGTTTAAGACTTTCTAGGTGCCTAATATCTAATATTGTTATTGGGTTCAATTTAGAAAAGTGCAAATTGATTATGTATTGTCACAGATGTCAGCTCTGGAATTCAGTTTTTGCTATACCTTTAGTAAAATAAATAATATCGTGTAATCATATATACTTAGACTTTAAAAGCACTTTAGTTTTGGTCCAACTCTATTATTTAACTATTTCTCATGCATCAAAGAGGACCTAACATATGCCAAATACTGTTTGTTGCTTAAAGTTAACTTAATTTCATTTTATTCCTTTAATCCCTTTGATACAAAGTACATTTTTAAAGGATAATGAAACTGAGGGTCATGGAATTTAAGCCACTTCCTCAAGATCCTACAGCTAATTAGTTGCTCATGTGGGATTTGCATTGTGGTTATTGTGACACTAAAGCATATGTTCTTTCCTTTATATCACACATTTATAGTCTATGCTCATATTCCTGCAATCTAGGAATCCTGTTTACCTGAACAGCTCTCACTGTTGAAAAGTTCTCTCTTAGAGTGATATAAGATCTTCTATTCTATAGTGTTCTCCCATTGTTTTTACTTCTACTCCCAAAGATTGACAGAGCTAATTTACTTATTCTTCCACATGATTCCTTATATATTTCAAGACAGTAATATTTCCTCAGATAAACACTCTCAGTTCCTTTTACCAGTATGGTTGCTGTGGTGTGAATATGATACAAGATATCCATAATCATTTTAATAAGATGGGATTTATTTTTGTATTGTCTGGACATTCCCTATCACACTGCTGTCAAAGATTATGCTTCTTGCTGAAATAATAAAAAGAAAAAAGTATTTTCATAATATTTATTGTAAGTAGGCACTTTCCTAAGTGTTTTATATAGAACATTTAACAAAACTTCTTAAGGCATTTTTCCATAGCCACTGTATTTCCCCCTCCCTATACTTTAGTATTTGTTTTTCAGAAGTTATACAGTTGAGAAAGAGGAAACCTCTTACACTGTTGATGGGAATACAAACTGGTGCAGCCACTCTGGAAAACAGTATGGAGGTTCCTTAAAAAGTTAAAGCAATTGCACTACTAGGTATTTACCCAAAGGATACAAAAATACTGATTTGAAGGAATATATGCACCCTGATGTTTATAGCAGCAATAGCCAAATTATGGATAGAGCCCAAATGTCCATCAACTAATAAATGGATAAAGAAGAGGTGGTATACATATACAATGGAATATTAGTCATAAAAAGGAATGAAACTTTGCCATTTGCAGTAATGTGGATGGAGCTAGGGAATATGATACTAAGTGAAATAAGTCAGCCAGAGAAAGACAAATACTACTCGATTTCACTTATATTTGGAATTTAAGAAACGAAACATGACCATGGCAGTGGGAAAATAGAGATGCAAACCAGGAAACAGACTCTTAACTACAGAGAAAAAAAAACTGAGGCTTACTGGAAGGGAGGTGGGTGGGGATTGGGTTAAATAGATTATGGGTCCTAAAGAGGGCACTTTTAATGAGCACCGGGTGTTGTATATAAGTAATGAATCACTAAATTCTATACCTGAAACTAATATTACACTGTATGTTAACTAACCGAAATTTAAATAAGAACTTGGAGGAAAAAAATAAGTTATATAGTTGACTCTATTAAATTCCACTATTACCACTGATTCAGCTCTTTTACAATTCTAATTCATTCATTCAACAAATATTTCCTGAACATACATTATCTGACCTTCACTGTTCAATATGCTAGGAACAAAATGGGCATGTATCCCTATTGTCATCAAGTTTAAACGAACAAGTAAGTAAAATATATTGTATGTCAAATGGTGATAAATGTTATAGAGAAAAATAAAGTGAGGATATAGGATCAGGTTCTGGCAATCAGAATTGAATATTAGAGAAGGCCTCACTGAGAAGATGAATTGAGAGCAAAGACCTGAAGACAGTGAGAGGCCTTTAAACCATGTGGAAATCTGGAAGAAGTATGTTCTAAGTGGAGGAGATTAAAGGCAAAGGTTATGAGAAGGACACATGCTTCTTGTTTTCTAATAATAACAAGAAGGCCTAAAATTAAAATAAATAAATAACAAGGAGGACAACATGTGGGGTGGGTTGGCTAAGGTCTGTCATGTCCACAACATGTCTCATGTCCACAACGTTGACAACTGTGTGATACTTGATAAAAGTTTTGGTGGATCTTCAGTGACTTCAGTGGTTGTTGGGGTCCTCAGTGGTAACTCCAGGTTCAGTGGTTAGGGGCCAGAGAAGGCAGCAGTGGTAATATACTGGTGGTATGTATATGCTTGGATGCAGTGCTTGTGTAGTGAAGGGGCTCTCTGCAGATATACACATTGTGAGAACCAGGGTCAGCAGCAGGGGCTTGAGCCAACTGTAGGCACAATAGCAGATACAGGGGCATGGGCTGTTACCTTATATTCCTGTAGCCACAGTCTTGCCACAGGCATACATATGGCAGTGGAGACTAATGGCAGCCATCAGGTCAGAGGAGTGCAGGTATATAGCTGAAGGTTAGCACAATGGTGCAGGCCAGTGACTGATAATAGAAACACATCCAGACACACAGCTGTTGTGTGGGCCCTGGCTGTCAGTATGCACTCATGGACATAGGAGCTTGCTATTGGTGCATGCATGACAGTGGAAGCTGGTGATAGAGTCAGACCACTGGTGAGCAGATGCACAGCTCAGTAATACCTACAGGTGAGCTCAGTGTTATAGGCCAGTGACAGGAGTCAGGGCTATATCCAGGTCCACAGACAGTTGTGCAGGCCTTGGCTATCTGAATGCACTTCTTCAGCTGAAAGGGCTCACCCCAGGTGTGTGCACGGTAGTGGAAGATGGTGATAGGAGTTAGGTGGCAATGTACATGTGTACAGCTGCAGGAATAGTGTGAAGACAAGTGGTGCATGATAGTGACAGGAGTCATGGCTGTATCTGGGTCAGGCAGGAGCTGAGGTGGATCTAAGCTGTCCATATGCACTTGTGCAGCTATAGGGACTTGGCCATAAACATGCACATGGCAGTAAAGGCCAGTGGCTTGAGTCAGGATGCTGTAGATGCACATCTGCCAGAGGCAAGCCACCAATGTGCTCACAGTGATGGAGGTCAGCCATATGGTCTAGGCTGGTGTCTTGCGTGATCATAGTTAGAGGCCAGGGCTGGCTGTTGGTATGGATCTGGGCTCCAGCAGGACTAGGGATTGAGCTGGCTGTCATCTGAAAACATGAAAATCTGTGGGGCAAAATCTTAAGCAATGAAATCTACAAGGGATACATGACAGCTGTGCTTGCCATCAGTTTCTTCAGTGGTAAAAGCTGCTGAGCATTCTGCTGGTGTCTGTGATGAGATCCATGGTGATGTAATTTGGGGAGTGTAAAGAATCTGCAAGAGATATTGAGGTCCTCAGTAGTGAAGTGTTCTGGGGTCCTCTGACAAGCAAACCACTAGGAACCACAGTCACTCCTGCTGTGTGGCTGGTATTGGTAGCCCCTATCCTTCTTCCTTGTTCTTAGCCATCTCCATATGTCTCAGCTTTGCTGCTCTCTGGGTGGAATTGAACTGAAACAGATCCTTCATGTAGTGCCCCAATAGGCTGAGGAAGCTTATCACTGCCCATTTTCCCTTTGTTGGCAAGGGGAACTCTTTTGAGTTAGGACATTCCCTCTTGGGACTGAGCAGTGCTGACCTAGAGGATGGGATGATAAAGACTAAATTAAACTATTCTTTCTACCCATTTTGTACATTTAATCCCAGGTATTTTATTCCACTGTGTTGCTGAAGCTTCTCTAAGTATACTCCTCAATTTTCCCAGAACTATTTTCATTTGTGGATAGCTGTCCAATTATTAATCTCTGTTGGGGAATGGAGGCTGTAGTCTACTCTGCTGTCTAGGTAACATCACTCTCACCCAAAAGTTTTTCATTTCAATGTAGTTCAATTTATCTGTAGTTTCTTTTGTCACTTCACTTGTCCTTCAGATGTCATAACTAAAGCTTAGGGTTAGCCAAGTCACAAATATTTACTTCTATGTTTTCTCCTGAAAATTTTATAGCTATATCTCTTACATTTAGCTGTATAAGTTTTTTTGAGTTAATACTTATAAAAATGGGAAATAAAGGTGAGAGATAATTGTCCATATTCATTTTTGAATGTGAATACCCAGCTGTCCCAGCACTATTTCCTCAAAAGACTATTCTTTCCCCTTCAAAATTTATTAACATCCTCTTTTAAAGTCAACCATAAATGAGGGGCTTATTTTTGAACACTCAGTTCTCTTCCATTGATCTAGGTGATTATTCTTTTTTTAAAGATTTTATTTATTTATCTAAGTAGACTGACTTATTCTACTTAGCATAATACACTCTAGCTCTACTCATGTCATTGGAAATGACAAGATTTCATTCTTTTTGATAGCTGAATAATATTCATATAACATATATATCTTTATCCATTTGTCAGTCAATGGAGATTTGAGCTCTTTCCATAATTTGGTTTTTGTTGATAATGCTACTATAAACACCAGGGTGTATGTGTCCCTTCAAATCAGTATTTTTGTGTCCTTTTGGTAAATACTAGTAGTATAATTTCTGGGTTATAAGGTAGTTTTATTTTTAACTTTTTTTTTTTTTTTTAGAGAGAGAGAGCACACATATGTGAGTAGCGGGGAGGGGTAGAGGGAGAGGAAGAGAGACTCCCAAGCAGGCTCCACACCCAGGACAGAGCCCAATGTGGGGTTTGATCTCATGACCCAGAGATCATAACCTGAGCCAAAAATCAAGATTCAGATGCTGAACCAACTGAGCAACCCAAGCACCCCTATTTTTTTTGTTTTAATGCCACTATAATTGACGCACAGACATAAGGATTTATATGGTAGATTGTTCTGCAATATAAATTGAGTGAAAAGATAGTCATAGTGTACAGAGAAAGCTAAAATCACCTATAAGATTTCACAAAATTGTAGCTCAATTGGGTTCTGAAAGCTGGAAACAATTTGACTTAACAGAGGTTAAAGTAGAGACATTTCAGTCAAAAGGAAGAACATGAAAACAGGAATGAGCATGACACATTGATGTAACAATTAAGAAACTGTCTAGTCAAAGCATGACTTCGAGTTGGAAATGGATTTAATTAAATAAATAAATAGTTAATGAGCATCCACCATGGTCCATGTACTCAGTTTAGGCAAAAGAGATACAAAGAACATAATGACATGGTACTTACCCCTTGGACCTCAAATCTTATGTTTTAACAGCCTCAGTTTCCTCCTCTTAAAATGATGGGATTGGACTAGGTGTTATTTTAGATAATAGTCAACCTAAATAATGTATGATTCTGCTTTTACAAAATCAGCCTATTGGTGCATATATAATCTATGCAGTGTTTATAATTTTGCACTTTAAATATACATATTGAATTGAAATATTTACTAGGGATAAAATATACATTTGGTACTAGCACAGGTGTGTATTCTTTTACCTATAGGTTTTTTTCAAGTCATTAAGATTGTAAGCTATTTTGCTCTGTAATCATTCAAATCACTGTGCTTTCCATGACTCCATTACTTAAAGCCAATATTAGACTTAATCATCTTACTTATTTGTTGGAAAAATTGGAAAATTGCTTGTATGTCCTCATACTTACCAACAATAAGTGCTTATGTGGTTTTACTAGATTTTTGGAATTGTGCTAAGTGATGGGGATTCAAAGAGCTCTTTTCCCACCCATGAGATTTACTGATTAAGTAGGTGGTTTATTGGACCATTATTTATAAATCTTTTTATTTAAATTTTCATTTCTTTTTTTTAAGCTCTTACTCACATTTCAGAAGTGTGTTATGTGTATTATATCAAAATATTAAAGGGGCACCTGGGTGGCTCAGTTGGTTGAATGTCCAATTCTTGGTTTCAGATCAGGTTGTGATCTCAGGGTCAGGAGATTGAACTCTGCATGGGGCTGCACACTCAGTGTGGTGTCTCCTTGAGATTCTCTCTCCCTCTCTTCTTGTCCCCATTCTCTCTCTCGCTCTCTCTAAAATAAATGAATGAATGAATGAATAAATAAATGAAGGAAATAAAATAAATCTTTAAAAAATGTTAAAATTCACACAGTTCAAATTTCCTTTAGAGAGCTTGCCATATTTAAAGGAAATGACAATATGGTCCCTGAAAGCATATATACAGCATGTATAAAAATCTCTGCCAAAAGTGCATTTTAAAATAAATCCACAGTAAATGGGTGTTTATGGAGGTCATGAGAAGTAAATGTAATATTTACCCTGTTTCCCTGTAGGCAGGATTCTGAGTGATTGTTGATTTCTTCTTAGGTTAGGTTAGGATAATTGATTTCTTCTTCTGCCATTTTAAATATTTCCATGAAATTTTCCATGATTTCTTATCAAAAACAAATGAATATTTAAAACCTATTTTTTACTTTTTCTCACTGATCTTCATGCTGCCTACACCACAGTTTAGGGGACCTAAAATTTAACCCAGTTTTATACTTTGATATTACACAGTTGACTCTGGAATCAAACAAATATATTTTTTCATCCTGTTAGTGAGCCATGTAATATCTTTCTCTGACTATAAATACATATGTATACATATATATGTTCAATTTTTTGAGAAATGAAATTTATGGCAATTACATATTAAGGTTGAGTTAGATATATAGATAAGAGTTTTATGCATCTTGTTTGTTTTCTTCTTTTCTAGTGCAAGAATGTGACTAAAATCTGTCATTACATAGCTGCCCTTCCACCTGATCTTATAGGACGAGAAACATGGATTACAGAACTACTTACCTCTGAAGAAAAGCTATCTAAGGTGCAAGTGGTAAGCAATTTTTTTAAAAAAAGATTTATCATTAATACTAAGCATTTCAAAAAGATTTATAAAAGTCAATAGAATCCTCTCTAATTTAACACAGCAATTATTTATGGGGTTTTCCTTTCCTTCCAATGTTTCTCAGCATATACAGTATATATGATGATATATTCACATCTTTCTTTTCCATATGGTCATTACATTAATTTTAAGTGACTGCCTCATATGCTATTGAATTTATATACTTAAGTTATTTAGTCATTCAATTATTGTTGGATTATGTAGGTTGCCATCAATTTTCAGATGTTAAAAGTAAAGCTGATATAATTAACTTTGTACTTATAATGTATTTCAACTATTCAAATAATTTTCTTGAATACATCCTTATGATTTCTTTTAGCAAAGTTTTCTTTAAAAAATGTTACAGGGTTTTTCATCAGTTACATTCCTATGATCCTGATTATGATGACAGAATGTATAATTGTTTTAAGACAAATTATCTACCAGAAGAATTCTACCAAATTGAAACCTGTATTTTCACTAGTATTGGATTTTATTTCTTTTATCTTACTAGAATTGTAACATCAAACCTCATTTTTGTTTAAATATGGGTTTAATTGCTTGGACATTTTTTTCTTATACGCTATATAAATCTCTCCTGTTTTCTACATTTCTTTATCACTATTATTAAAATTAATTGTTTTGAATTTGAAAGTAATAACTGCTTTTTATCTGAAATGTGGAAAGATAGAAAAGCATTTGAATTGCTTTAACCATTAACAATGTTTGTGCATTTTTCCCTAGTGTTTCCTCTATTCGTATTTTACTTACACAATTATGACACACAGACACACACAAATGTCTTTCTGTGTGTATATATATAAAACCTGTGTGTGTAGGTATATTTAATATATATGTCATATAATGTCTATATATATATATATACTATAACTTGATTAAGTGAATATAATTTTAAGTTTTTTGCTATGTGACTATTATATATACTGCTTCGATATACATAATTGTGAATTATCACACATAAAGCCTTTTTTCAGTCTTAGTTGCTTAGGCATGAAATTACTGGTCCGATGGTTATGAATATTTTTAGCTTCTTAATATATAGTAAAAAACTTGCTTTTCTGAAGGATTGTATCAGTTTACACTTTTATCAGCAGCATGCATGCATAACCATTTCATGATGCTTTTACTGTTTAAATAAATAGAATCATGTAGGTGATAAATGGTCATTAACTATAATCCTGGTCATAATTGTTTCTCTTACAATTAATGAGGTTACATGTTTTTCACTATATTTATTAGTCATTTTTATATCCTTTTAGCTTAATTGATTGTCCATAACCTTTGTCCATTTAACCACTGGGTCTTAGTGTTAATTTATCTGCATTTTATCTTACTTATATGTATATGTTAACAAATTTATTGTAAAGATTTTTATACTGAATTAAGATAAGGAATTTTTAAGTTCAGAAATAAGAAACCTGAAGATTAATTACCAGTGAAGTCAGCTAGCATATTTTATGTGCATAATTTTAACCCAATCACAAATGATTGCCTCTGTCTTAGTATTTATGTGAGTTTCCAGTACTTTAACAAAGTAAGGTAGTTATGACTTATATCTCCTTTTTAAACAAAAGAAAAACTAAACTTTAGACTTGCTCCAACGGAAAAAAAATGATTTAACATGAAATTTTTAAAGCTATAATTTGAAGTAATCCTTCAAACGTCATGTTTATATTTGCAGGATCATTTTAATTTATTGTTGTCTTTATTATTATCTTTGTAAACATAAAATTATTGTTACATTTGCATGGAAAAGTTAGCATAATAATTTAAAGAGAAGGGATAGAGTTTTTTTAAGATTTATTTACTTATTTGAGGGAGAGAATATGAGGGGGAGGGGCAGAAGGAGAGGGAGAGAGAATCTCAAGCAGACTCCATGATGAGTATGGAGCCAGACCAGGGGCTTGCTCTCATGACCCTGAGATCATGACCCAAGTTGAAACCAAGAGTCTGACGCTCAAGCAACTTTGCCACTCCATTGCTCCAAGATAGAGATTTTTAATACAGAATTATTTGGGTTGAAGTAGTCAATTAATGACCTGAAAAAGTGGATAGACCTTTAAAATAGAAACTGTTATCTTTATTGTGCAGTTGTATCAATGATGTAATTAAACTATAAACTGGGGGTGCCTGGGTGGTTCAGTGGTTTCAAGCCTCTTCCGCCGGCTCAGGTCATGATCCCAGGGTCCTGGGATCGAGCCCCGCATTGGGCTCTCTGCTCAGCAGGGAGCCTGCTTCCCTTTCTCTCTCTCTGCCTGCCTCTCTGCCTACTTGTGATCTCTGTCAAATAAATAAATAAAATCTTTAAAAAAAACTATAAACTGCATGCAAAAATTATGACATTTTATGTTGATGGTGAAGTACACAAAGTAGTGATTTAAAATATTGAATAGTAATTTGGCTCTCAGTTGTAGAGTTGGGTAGAATTTTAATCTTGATTTACAAAATTCACAAATTCAAGCATGTTAGGAAATAAACTTCATAAATGATAAAGCAAATAAATTCAAACAATAGTATAAAGTAGCATAAGGATTAAATAGCTTTCTTGAAATCTCTGCTTTGCCACTAATAACCTAGATGTAAACTTAAGTCATATTTACTCTCTAAATTTGTTTCTTATATGTAAAATGCAGGACTTGGGTGAATGACAGCTGAGGTCACTTATAATTCTGTGAATATTGTTTCATAGGCCTACAATTTTATCTCCTCCTGTAGTGCCCTCTCAAAGAAATCATTAACTAGTCCATGTAATCTGTCTAGGGATTAATTGATTCCTAATGGAAATGGATTGAGTATTGTTGATTTTCATCAAAATGTTTGTTCTGCAGCTATGGATTCAGATGTATTGGGGGTAAGGGGAGAATGTTAGGTGTTTGAAGGATATCAAATAAAATTCACCAGTCTACTGGTGAATCACACTTAACAGCAGAGGCCAGATTTTGAAGAGCCTAAACCTTATACAGTTTGAGAGTCACTGTTTTAAAAAAATACATATGTATGTATATATTTATATTTATATATTTTATATATATATGCATATATCTGTAAATTGAAATTTGGAATGAGAAAAGTCACAACAAATATAAATTTGAAAATATTACAAACATAAAATACTTTTCAGGGTCTTGGAATGGGCTTTTACAAGTGAGAATCCCTAAAACTTAAGCTTTATTGGCTTCATGGTAAATCTGTCTCTGAGATTAGGCACGTTTTTCCCTTTTGTACTTCTCTTTGGTTCTACTCCTCATCTTCACCAGTTCCTGTCACTCCATGGACACAGGTAGTGTGAGAGAAGAAAACAACATTGGAGGTCGAACAGTAAATACTGTATAGATAAGGTTTTTATATTAGCAAAGAATGTGCCAAGCCAGTATGCTTCCCTCTATGTCAGCTGCGTGAATTATTCCTGTTATGTTGTATTAAACACTCGCCACAAAGTTACAACCTCTTTGGGATGTTCCATGTGCTTTTCGTGCACTTGATGAGTGGGTAATTATGATCACTGATTTGATCAAGGATTGTGAAGACCCAGATATTTTCATTATCATAGCCATTGAATTCTTATACAATCTGAGATTTGTATTGTATGCTATGGCCTTCAATCAGTTTCCTCTGTTTTTGGCAGCCATCTAAAATGTCTTTGCAACATTGCAATGTTGTGAATTATCAATGATACTGTAGTTGATTTTGAGATCTATCATGTTTCAGGAAATTGTGACATCTGTGCCAACTCCTGGTTGTTAGCATCAGCAATCCAAAATAAAAATTAAAGACAAAATTTAATTGTACCCTTGGAATATAATATAGCATTCTAGTTAATAGGTGTTGGTATAAAGCAATGTGCTTTGTTGAGGATACTGACTAGTAGTAGAAGGAAGCTGGCCAGAATGATTACATGGCAGGAAAAATCACCTTTCTTCTTTACAAAGAGATAAATCTAAGAAGTAGATATTTGTCTTAGTTAATAGAAAGTTTAGCATTTTTTAACACTTAAAAACCCAGTAGGCTACTTTATAGACTTTCTGTTATAAAGTAAATCAATAGTGGAATCATTTCCAAGTGTAAGAAAAATTAGAGCAGAATTAAAAAATACATCTTTGTATGTTGAATATTGCATGACTACAAGGTATTTTCATTATAAAGATGGATCATTTAAAAGGAGTGTTTTGTGTTCCCAAAATGTCTTATTACAGTACATTCTGAAATACTATGATTTAGCCCAAGAAAAGTGTCTTTGTCTTTCTACCCTCCGAAACAAAGTTTGAGATTCTATCTAGTCCCTTGCAAAAATTGTAAATAATTTAAAAAATTGCAAATAATGAACTATGTTACTAAATTGTCCAGAGTAAACAGTTCATCTTTGCTCAGTAGGAGTAGCCTACAACTACTTGCCTGACATATTACTTTCACTCAAGTGGCAAGACCCAGGAGATAAAACCTGGAACTCATAATCAGACACTAGTCTTGCTATGTAATCTCCATGGAGCATTCTGCAGTAACTCTTTGACCAACGACCTTAATAGGCTTCCAAAATTACCTAGTCTGGGTAAGATAGCTGTGCTCATTTATCTTCATTGGGAAGCATTAGAAGAGAGCAGATTATTTTTTTATTATGTTCAGTTAGCCAACATATAGTACCTCATTAGTTTTTAAAGTTTTTGACGTAGTAGTCAATGATTTAATATTTGTGTATAATACCAGATTTAAAGAAGGAAGTATAAATTTGAAACTCACAGAGTACCTGTCTTTTAACTTTCCTTCTTTCTTCCATTCTATCTCACGTCTTTAACACTCTCTCAGTTGCTCTAAGTGTGATATGGTCAGTTACTTGCCTACTCAGAGCCTTCCTCCATGAATATTTCTCCCAGTGCTGGAGGAATGTGACAGTAATCGCATGGTCTATAAATGAAAATGTAAAGAATTTTTAA